GAGGGCAAGCGTGGGAGGCAGGGGCCACTCACACTCAGGACTCCCTGTGAAGGGAAGAGATGACCACAGAAAATCCCACAGACTTCTCTGGGCTCAGCAACAGGAGCGGTCACGCTCAGTCCAAGGACAAAATCCCCCCCGGGTTAGTTTGGGGTGGGGGGCACACAGGGGTTGTTCCTATGATGAGGAGGCACACAGAATACAGGGCCGTCTCATTCACGTCCAGCTTTTAAAAGGATGACTTTAAGATCATCTCCAAGGCAGTCCATTTGTCCAGTGGACTCTGACTCATGGTATCCCTGGGCATGCTCGAGGAGAGGGGGCCCCCGGAGGGTTTCGAAGACGTGGTTGCCACACCTTTCTAGAGCAGCGTCTCTGGGTGAGCGGGACCCTGCTGTGGGTTAGTAGCGGAACATGCTGTTTGCACAGACCCGAGACTCCGGGCCGAGTGTAAATGCTCCTGAACCCTGGGCCCAGGGGCAAAGTGGTAGAGACTTCCTTCTCTCAGAACTCTTAGCCTCGAACTCCAGGGCTTCTGCAAAACTTTTGTTGTTAGTGCCACACAGTTGATTCTGACCACACTGGTGATTGGTGACCCTGTGACAGAGTGAAGCTGCGCCTTCGGGTTTCAAAGTCTGTCCCTCTTTGCAGAAGCAGACTGGCACGGAGGAGCCTGGAGCAGCTGGTGCCACGTGGAGTGCTTAGTTGTTGTGTCGCCAGGGACCCTACTGTTTAAAAATAAAAGCGCTACGATACAATGCTCTTTGACAGACCGACAGTTTCCCCGGGCAAGTGTGGTAGTTACATAATCTGGTGTCAATTTGAGAGGATTATGAGTGCAGGGGTGGAGTCTAGTCTGTCATTCCAATCATAGGCAATGAGGCCTCTGTGTGGCCTTCTCCTGAGGATTCTGGGAACTCCTGTGTTTCCTCCTTAGAAGTAGGAGACACTTCTTTCTGCTCCCTCCCTGAGACCACGCTTTACTTACAAGACACCTGGTGCGACGCCCTGGGAGCTGGAGAAGCCACATGGGCCTACCCTGATGCAACAGGACCTCTGGAGCCTGAGAAGTCGCGCGGAGACCCCTGCCAGCGCTGAGATGCTTACAACATTACTGGATCCACAAGACTTCCCACCCACTAGCCTGTGATCTTCCTGCATTCAACATCATTGCATGTGTTGTGTGAGTCTGAAGAGGACGCCGTAGATTGCTAGCGGACACATGGGCTAATATTGGATTTATGGACTTGGGCTGGACTGTTTTCTCAATATTCAATTGCTCTGATATATAAAGCTCTTCCTTATAACATTGAGTGTCTATGAATTTGTTTCTCTAGTCTACCTGGACTCACACAGCAAGTAAAAGCCGCACTGGGGAGGAACGAATGATCAGAAAGGGGTTTTGCCGTGCAAGACGGCTTTGCATTTTGTGTTACATAATTATCTAGAGACAGGTGCCCACTCAAAACACGAAGTAAAAACGAGAAAACACAGAGTAAATGCCCTTTTATGGAGCTCGCTGTGCCACGAGTTCCATCCAACTAAGTGAAAATATCTTTTCATTTTGATTTTAAGTCATCACCTCAGACTCCATCGCTCTATGTGGTTGTAAGAAGGAGTCTTGTTAAACCTGCCTTCCAGGATTCCCAAGCCCAAAAAAACGATCCTTAGAAAAAAGGTCAAACGATCCTCAGAAAAAAGGTTGAAAAAAAGTCAACCCACTGGTGGTGCAGTGGGTTGGGTGTTTGTTGGGCTACTGACTGCAACGTTGGTGGTTCGAGCTCACCAGCCGCTCAGGGGGAAGGAAGGCAAGGTTGTCGGCTCTCATAGAAATGTAGTCTTGGGGAGCCTCCAGAGGGTAGCTGGAGGCGGAATCCGCCCGGCGACAGAGGGTGTGGGGTTAGAAGAAGCGTGGACTCACACAGGACTTCAGACCTGGGTTTTGTTTTTATTTACTCATCATGGAACTAAAACAAACACTTCCAAAAACGTTGGCTTCCCCGCAGTTTGAAACCACCAGCGGCTCCAAGGGAGAAAGATGAGCTTTCTACTCCTGTACACAGTTCACGGAAACCCACGGGGGTGGGTGCATGAGTCACACTGACTCCACGGTGAGGGGACCCATGGGGGCGCTGTGAGTCACACCGACTTCATGATGGTGAGGGGACCCACGGGGGGGGGGGGTTGGGGGGGCCGCGCCATGAATCACACTGACTGTCATATAATTAAGTCCATTTGGTATATAGAATAACAAGGGATTTATTGGCAAAATCAATCCATACTTAAAAAAAATGCACAGTTTACATTTCTCGTCCAGGAATGTGGCTAACTTGACACATCGTTGTTGAGTGCTTGTTGTGTGAAGCCTCATGCCAGGCAGAGGCTGCGCCCTGTCATACGACCCCAGTCCGTCCTGAAGGACTCTCGGGGAAATGCAGGTGACCTGGCAGCATTGCCCAGTGACTAATGTTGCGCCTTGTCAGCACAGACATTTACCTCCAGCATCAATGGATATGGTTTTGGTTTCTGCAAAAAAAAAAAAAAAAAGATGATTCTGCAAATTCAGAAATATTGAAGCATTTATAGTCAAGGTGAAGAATATTGAATATGCTCAGACTGCCAGGCCAGGAGAAGGATAAATCTGTCTTGGAGGAAGGGCAGGCAGGTGCTCTTTAGAAGAGAGGACGGTGACACTTGGTCTCACGGACTTTGGACATACAGTCCAAAGAGAAGAACATCATGCTTGGTGAACCAGAGGGCCAGCAAGGGAGGAAGGTCATCCATGAAATGCATGGACCATGGGCTGCCCCTGTGGTGTCAGACACAACGGTGAGGGTGATGGCAGGGTGGGCTCTCTGTGGCCTGGGGTCTCAGGCTCACACCGATGGGTGGCAGCTCATCAACTTCCCAGGGGGAATGGACTTGGGGACAGTGGATGGACACACGCTGTCCCACAGATCCTGCTGCATCTGAACATTTGAACACTCAGCTGTGTGGCCTGATTCTGCTCCTTCCGCCTGAGGCTGTCGAGCTTCATGACTTAGAAATGTCTGCTCCTCTCCGCAAACCAGATAACAGTTTTTCTTTCAAGCCAAGTGCATGAATAAGAAGGTCTGTAGAATGAAGAGCGTATTCTTATATAACAGAGAAGGGGGAGGAAGGATCAAATCACAGTGTTCCCCACCCCCCCTCACTTACTATAAGTGTTGGGAACCGGTGGCCATTAAGGCCTTAGCCTCAGCCACGGAGCCGAACTTGGCTGCTTCCTAGTTCAGTGTTGTCTTTCATTTGCAAAACCTGTGGGGCCCTGCCTGAAATCCCTGCCGGACCCTACCTCCACGTTCCTAGCTACGTGCTCTGTAGCACTGGCGGTTGTAAAGTTGACCTTTTCACCCATTGGTTAATAATGCCAGGCGCTCATTGGAGCTTCTTTAATGTACATGTTGGATTGGATGTTGTGTCGCACACCTTATTAAAATATGCACCTCCCAGTTCCCCTTTTTTATACCCCAGCTTTGCCCAAATAAATGAGTTTGATCAGAGTTTTGTCTTGCTCCACGTCCCCGTGTGTTTTCTCCATCCAGGTTCGTCTTTCCCTGCAGGGCCTTGCTCGTGCTTCCTGCAGGCCGGGACGCAACATATAAGAATGGATTTAACCCCACTGTTATAAGACAGGACTCAATCTGAATTTACGAATGGCATTTACATTTTAAGATTTTTACATTTTCCCCTAACAAATGATTAGGGGCTCTGGTGGCTTAATAGGTTATGCGTTGGTCTGCTAACCACAAGGTCAGAGGTTCTGTGTTAGTCTGGGTTAACTAGAGAAACAAATTCATAGACACTCAAATGTGTATAAGGAAGAGATTTATATCAGAGTACTTAAATATTGAGAAAACATCCCAGCCCAGTCCAGATCAAGTCCATCAGTCCGATATTAGCCCATATGTCTGATACCAATCTATAAAGTCCTCTTCAGACTCACAAGACACATGCAATGTCGCCAAATGCAGGAAGATCACAGGCCAGTGGGTGGAAAGTCTTTATTGGAACAGAAAGCTCTCCCTAGGAGCAGCTCATGGCTTTGAACTGATCTTGTGGTTGGCAGCTCAACATGTAACCCACGATGCAACCAGGGGTCCCGCCTTAAAAAAAATACCGGACATTTAATCCCGTTTGGTGTAAGTAGTTTTCTGGCCCATCTCACTTTAGAGAACTTCTCCCTTCGAACATCTGTGTGAGGCTGTTTTTGCAGTTTAAACACAGTACTTCGGAAGAAGTTAGCAAGGACAACCAAAGAGGAGTTAACGACACATCACTGGTTAAAGAAAAAAAAGGTTGGGGGGGGTGTAGGGCAGGTAACAGATTTTTAACAAGGTCAAGAGGAGCAATTTGTATTTTGTGATCTCTAAGCCAACAGGCTTAGACCCACAATGTTCCCATATGGGAGTCACTAATAACGGGTAACACACAGTATCTCACGACAGGAGCTCCCAGGTAGAAAAGGTGAGCGACCTGGATCCTGGTGCATCAGCACACAGACACTGCCACCCAGTCATGCCGACCGGCCACCGCCCGGGGCACAGCCTCGGTGGGGCTCTGAGGCTGTCAATCTCTGGGGAGGCAGACGGCCCCATTTATAACAGGTCTGTAATAGGTTTTCGGGGGATGACTGAGTGAATGCATGAATGAATGAATGAGGCCAGGAACGAAACGCGGCCAAAGGGCACCCGGTGGGACGCCCAGGTTCCGACTCTGCGCCATCGTGTCCGGCGTGTCGCGAGAACAAAGGAAACACGACGGGAGAAAATGAGCAGGTCTCCGGCTAGGGGGCGCTCACGCAGCGCTAAGTCTGTCCCCGCCCGGCTTCCGTTGCGCCGCGCGCACGCGCGCGCCCGTCGCCGGAAGTGACGCGTGGGGGCGGCGCTCGCGGGAAACCGCGGCTCGCTTCCGGCGGGCGGTGCGCGCGGGATTTTCGAGCGTCGGCGGGGCGGGCCGCGGGCCATCATGAGCCTCTGGGTGGACAAGTACCGGCCCTGCTCCCTGGCGCGGCTGGACTACCACAAGGAGCAGGCGGCCCAGCTGCGCAACCTGGTTCGTGCGTCGGGGCCGGGGTCTGTGGCGATGGGTCCCCGGGTGCCCTGCAGGCCAGCCCCCGGCCCGCCGCGCGCGGAAATGGAGGCACCGAGGCCCGCAGGCTGCAGGCCCGGAGCCCTCGCGCCTCGCTGGTGTCCACGTCGAGGCCCCGTGGCGCCTTGGAGGCCCCCGCCCCGATTAGCGGGCGCTCGTGCCCGGCGGCGGTGACGAACCGCCCGGTGTGGCTTGCCTTGCTCTTAGCCCAGCATCGACCGGTCCATGCGACCCAGTGGGACACACTGGGACTGCCCCCTCCCCGGCCCCGCAGGGTCTCTTACCACTGACCTCGCTGTTAGCCCCCGAGTGCTCCAACCCTCTCCTCCCCCAAAAGACCGACGCAGCCTCGGGAACCTTCTGGGATTGGGATTGCTTTATGCTCCCTGGGGGCAAAAGTTCACAGCCCCTCCCACTGCAGCCTAGCGTATTGCACCTTAAATGGATGTGCTAGGTGCAGAACCCCCAAACCCAATGCCCTGCCACCAAATTGATTCTGACTCCTGGCAACCCCACGGGGATTTCCGAGGCTGTGGATCTTAATGGGAGCAGACAGCCTCATCTTTCACCCTAAGTTGTTGGTGGGTTTGAATGCCCACCTTGCTGTTAGCAGCCCAGCACTTACCTGATGGCACCTCCCAAGACTCTTTAAAACACACACACACACACACACACACACA